CTCGCTTGCGGTTTGAGGCTCCAAAATCAATTATCCAAGGGGAATCTCAGGTATGGGAAGACACATGGAAAGTTGTAGTTACTTGATGTAGACGACTAGATGCAAAAGAAGTTGGGGGAGGAGGGGCATAGTCCATCTGACGGAGTGCCTTGCCATACAAACCCCAATGGTCACGGAAGGAATTAATGATATCCTCCCTAGGATTAGAACCAAAAGAACGTTCTTGATTCATAGTAGTGGTAGAAGTCTAAGTCTCTTGAGCAACCATATTTACTGAATTGTACTTCTTTTGATCCTATTGGTCTGATTTCTTATTTTGATCTGATGTTGACTTCTTACTCAACTCCGGAGCCCACTTCGGCTTCCAATGAAGATGCTAACATATATCCTGAGTGTGCCTAGATCTCTAGCAATGTGTGCACCAATGTTTCCTTGTCATCCACCCTCTTCTGGAAATCACCTTTCTTAAAAGAATTCCCACCCGCTATGCTTACTCGCCCTTTTGCTGCCAAAGTAATTAACTCCCCCTTAGAATTGTTCATTATCCTTTTCATTAATTACTTTCTCTCTCTCTCTCTCTCTAATCTTTAAGGCAAGCTTGAATTTGAATGTCAAATTTGGCACGCCAATCGAAGGCCTAATGTGCATAATTTTGTGCGTAAAAAATAAAGTAGTGTATAAGGAGTTTTAAACCTTGGTCACACATGTACAATGACCATGAGTCCACCACTACACCCAAATCCATTTTGTTCAAATTTTATCCATTTTTATCTTTACAGAGGAAGAGACCTGGATGGTGCCTCTCCCCTAATTGGTGCTGCCTGTGTGAATCCAATGGTGAATCTGCTCTTCACTTGTTCATTTCCTGTCCTTTTGCTTGTGGTATTTGGGATCGGTTCTTCTCTTTTTGGGTGCAGGTGGAATACTCTGGACAGATTGGATAGGTTGTTCGATAGATCCACTTTCAGCTGGCCAAAAAGGAGGGGAAGACTGATGTGGAGGTGCACAAGAGCAGCAATAATATGGACCCTATGGGAGGAAAGAAATAAGCGTATATTTGAGGAAAAGAAAAGAAGCAAGGAAGCATTAATTGAAGGGATCATGGCAAAAGTGGCCTTCTGGATAAAGACTTTGGAGTTGTTCTCAGATGTCTCTATTGATGATATATTAAGGAACTGGAGAACAATTGCAGCCTCAACTTCAGCTAAGCGGAGGACACTAAAGGACTGGGAACCCCCAGAGGTAGGTTTTCTGAAATTAAATTTCGATGGAAGTAGTTTTGGGAACCCAGGGCCCTCTGGAATTGGAGGGGTTCTAAGCAATGAAAGCGGAGTGATTTTGGGAATGTTCTCAGGTCCCATTGGGGTGTGTGACTCTGTAACAGAAGAATTGAAGGCAGTACTTTATGGGATGCAGAAATCTTTGGAAATGGGGTTCTGGAAGCTAATAGTTGAAGGTGACTCCAAAATAGTAATAAGTTGGTTTAAGCAGAACGAGAAGACTCCTTGGTTTTTCAGAAACAATTTCAAACATTTCAAGAGGTTCTCAAGGGATATGCAGCTGATATTTCAATGGGCTCCTAGGTCGGCAAATGGCTTAGCTGACCATCTAGCAAAGCAAGGTGTAAATAGAGCAGAGTGCTTCTGGGCTCAATTGTGAGACTGATCATCAATTGTCTATGTATTCTATTGTTGGTAGCCGAGGCTGCCCATGCTTCTGTATTATCTTTTTTCTCTAAGTAATGAAATCTACTTTGATTACTGATCAAAAAATTATGGGTTGGGTCAGGCCTAAGTCTTTTCTACATAAAATATTGCATATATAATATTTTATATTAAATAATATAAATATGCATATAATTTTTTTGATACATTTATAATATATATGTTATATATTATGGCTAAGCCTGAACACAAAACCCAAGCCCAAACATTGAATTTCCTAGTTGGGCTAGGCTGAAATGATCACCCATGCTAAAATTGATTATTAAAATGTATATATCAACAAATATTAAGACATTATTTTGATCTTCTAAAAATCAAGGTAAGGTATATATGTACACATTTTAGCTTTTCCGTCATTTTTCAACAGTTACGATTGTGTCCCGATCTTTTACACTTCATGTAAACCATTAAAGTTTTTTATGTTTAAATAACTTATTTATGGTCATATATGCCTTGTGCTTATTATTATTAATATATTTTTTATGATTTATTTGAGTTTAATAATGTATCCATGCGTATCTTAATTTTCCGTCCATATCTATGTGTATCCAAAGCGTATCTCGATACATCTCTTAAAATTGTCTTTCCGATACTTTAAACCTTGACCCTAAGAGATTCATATGTAGGATTCAGCCCCAAACGAAAAGCAAATACCCGCTGCTGGGAAACCAAAGATTTATAAATTTTTGCATCATCATCACATTTCCAATTCATATTCTGATAGTGATTTAACTCCTTCCAAATTGAAGTCAAATCTAAATAGTAGACTGAGAGGCTCCTCTCCCCTGTTTACATCTAACAGGCAGCCTGCAACCGATAAATTTTTGCATAGTACCTCTGTTCTGAGTAGGTAGACTTTGCTTGCTCCCAGATCTCAACAGCTGTACCAGCCCACATAAAATTTTTCTCACTTGTGTAACATAGATACAAGAAGCCATGAGATCACCATATTGTTTTCTTGGTCCCATTTTTCATGTTCAGCACTTCTAAAACTTCAGTTCTTTTACATTTCCATTGATGTATCTTATTTTTCCCCTTGCAGTAATATATAGTTTGATTCCCTTCAACCACTCCAGGTAATTAAGGCCATCTAGGGGAATGACAACCACGAGAACTCATATCCACACCCCATCAGTCTATTTTGATAAGAAGACACACCCGAAGTAGCTGTATCCTCAGAGGTAATAATGTACCAACCAAAAATTTACTATTCAACCAGGAAAAACAGAGCTCACAGCCACAAAAAAAAACCACTTCTAGACCAGAAAACACTGTACGAATTAATTTGCTCAGTCCATACACATGTCAGAATAGGTGAACATTGCTAAAAGTCAGGAAAATCCTATGATTACTGTATATCCACTTAGAGGACCACACAAGCATTAAGGTTACTAGAGAAAAGCTTAACCCCAGCAACAACAGATCATACTTGATCTACAGACCCACACATACCTGGGTACAAAGGAAGGATCACACAATCGTTACTGATCTAAACAACTTCACAGCATCAGCCACCACAAACACATGGCTTATCTGGCACACGACCAAGAAATAAAGGAGAAAAAAGGTGCGAAACTGTTCTCAGTCCGATATGGTAAAACTTCTCCCGAGTAGAGGAGTCCATAAAAAACCAAAAAACTGAACCGGAAAATCCAGTTAACCGAACTGATCGGGGTTTGGTTTTGGTTTGGCATTTCTGAAAAACCGAAGTACTCGTTCAGTTTTCGGTTAACCTAGAAAAAACCGGCGGTTAACCGAACCGACCAGTATATATATTTATATGTATATATTATATATATTTTTAATATATGTCACATATTATATATAAATATATATGCATTATATATATAAACATACATATATTATATTTATAATTATCTATTTATAAATATATTGTATATATTATATATTTATATGATATATTATAAATATAAAAAACCGAAACTGATCAACCGGTTAACCGGTGGTACCAGTTTGGTTTTGGTTCAGAGAAATGGAAAAACTGGTAGGACTGGTTCGGTTAACTGAACTGTGGACACCCACTCCTGAGGTCGATCTGAAAACAGCAGGATGATGAAGAAAAAACATGTTCGATCTGTCTTGAGGCCCATAAAACTGCTCTGATACCATGTTTCTTGATAAAAGGAAGATAGGATAGAAAAGAAAAGGTCAGAAGAGAAGAGAGAGAAAAATAATTAGAGGGGCAAAAGTAGGCTGGCGGTGCCAGCCAATATATTTATATTACGGCGACTTAAAATAATAAAACATAAAAAGACTTAAGTGTCCTTGTGGCACTAGTATACAACAATTAGTAGTTTTAACACCACCCATGGCATAGAATTAGAGCAATATGGGCAAAATGGAGGTATGCATCTGGAGTTTTATACGATAGGTGAATGCCACTTAGATTAAAAGGGAATTATATGGAACAGTTGTAAGGCCAGCTATGCTGTATGGAACAAAGTGTTGGGCAGTCAAGAAATATGTCCAAAAAAAGAGTGTGGCAGAGATGCATATGCTGAGATAGATGAGTGGAAAAAATCGGAAGGATAGGATCAGAAATGAAGTCATACGAAAGAACCTAGGAGTAGCTACAATAGGTGATAAAATGAGAGAAAGTAAAAAAAAAAGATGGTTTGGTCATGTGCATAAAAGATCATCAACAGCACCCATAGGAAGAAATGATTTGTTGCAAGTTGAAGGGGCTAGTAGGGTTAGAGGTAGGCCAAAATGGACATGGGCTGAAGTAGTAAGAAATGATTTAAGAGCTCATAATTTAACAATGAGTATGACACTAAACAGAATGGAATGGAGAAACAGGATTCATGTAGCCAACCCATAGCGTTGGGATAAGGCTTCGATAATGAACTTTGACACCATGAATTTTATAAAGCAGTTGTAAGGCTAGTGAAGAAACATGTCCAAAAAATGGGGATGGCAGAAATGCTTATGCTAAGATGGATGAGTGAAAGAACTAGAAAGGATAGGGTCAGAAATGAAGTTATTCAAAGGAAACTAGGAGTAGCTCCAATAGGTGATAAAATGAGAGAAAGTAGACTAAGATGGTTTGAATGGAATGGTGAAACAGGATTCATGTAGCCAACCTCATAATTGTTAGGATAAGGCTTTGGTGATGATGATGATGCTTCTATTTACACTTTGTGCATGCAGATGTAAATTCAATGATTTTGGTCTTAGTCTACTTGGTTTATAAATTATACAGTTAAAAATCATATTCTAATATTTAACATTAAATTGTTTTCTCCATCTTTGCAGGCAACAAGAAACTATGAAAGAGCGGTCCATCTGAACTGGAATAGTCCTCAGGTTTTTTGTAATAACTTATTGTTTTCCTCGTGTTTATTCTTAGTACTGGTATTTTATGCATAGGATTCCTGTGCCATTCTTCCTTGCATTTCTGGTCACTTTATTTTATCACTCTATTACTTTGCTAAAAGATTATGAATGGTGTTTGCATTCTGTAGATTGTTATTATTTGTCATATTTGTAGGCCAAGAAGCTTACAGTTGCACTTTTCCTAACCAGACTTCTTATTGTTGATCACAGGCACTTAATAACTGGGGACTTGCTCTACAGGTACCTTCATTACAGTCTTGAGATCTCCAAACAAACTACTTATTTTTGTTTATAGTGAACTTACTATGTTGAATGTTTCTTTTGCATATGGCTTACATTTTGGCCTTCTTTAGTTCTTTCTCTTGATGTTGTGCAAAAATGTTTTCAATTTAGGAACTTAGTGCAATTGTTCCTGTTCGGGAAAAGCAAACAATTGTAAGAACTGCAATCAGTAAGGTACAAAATAGTTTGGAGACATGTGACTGTAGAAATATGTGTAGCATTTATGCATCCAATGTGTTTTAGAAATGTGTTATTTCTGTGTTGTTTAATTTCATTTTTATGCAGTTTCGTGCAGCCATACGATTGCAATTTGATTTCCATCGAGCAATCTATAATCTTGGTACTGTTCTGGTTAGTCTATTGCTACTCCTTTGCCTCCAAGTTTAGGATTTTAATTTTAGGATTGCAGGACCTTTTGGGGGTATATAACTTATTGGGTAACATGAAATACCACATGCAGTTATATTATTCCATTTGAGTAGAAAATAACCTAAATTTTCTTTAATCTTGTTATTTTGCAGTATGGATTAGCAGAAGACACATTAAGAACTGGGAGACCAGTCAATGCAAAAGACCCTAATGAACTTTATAGCCAATCAGCTATCTATATTGCAGCTGCTCATGCCTTGAAACCAAATTACTCAGTGAGTAAATCATCTTGATAGCTTGCCAATTTGTTCTTCACTTGTTTAAAGCTGAAACTACAGGCTTTAGCTATATTTTTCTCTGTATTCTTGAAGTGGAAACTTTTTTTTTGTATGTATAATGGATACTAGTGGTTCAGTAAGCTGCTCATTGCAGATGTCACCATTCCTTGAACACTGCATGTGAAGAACTATGTGTGTGTGTATGCAGCTCAGTCATTAAGGTTATGTAAAAAACCTTTGGTTCGGTAAAACATTTCTCATGTGGGCTCTTAAGGGCATTGGTAACAGCTAAGCCAAGAAGCTTATTTTGCTTCATATTCATTTATTTACTGGCAATAATTGCTCCCAGCAGCATTTGAAAGCCCCACATCTAGGGGTGCAAATGGATCGGATCATGATCTGATCTGATCTGATCTGAAGTTCAATCCTATTTTGTCGGATTTAGATATCCCATTTCGGATCTTCTGGTCAGATCAGATAATAGGATCCAATTAGAAATTGGATCGAATTTGGATCACCCCCTATTCAATCCGATATATCTATTATTTATTTATTTATATAAATATCTGTAACACATATATATGCTATTTATTTATTTATAAATATGTTATTTATATTGTATTTTTGTCTTTCTTTATTTAAATTGTTATATTTTATTTTTCTTTTAATAACTTATTAATTTTTTAAAATATTAAATCGGATCGGATCATATTCAAATATCTGACTTCTCTTCAGATTTGAATTCAAATCAATGTTTGTGAGATCCGACTGAATCGTCGGATCGGATCTGCTGTTCATAGTATCGAATCGGATTCAGATATACCCTGATTCGAATCCGATCCAATCCGCTTGCATCCCTACCCACATCAGGTCAAATCTGTTATGTGGGTTCTGCAGAATGGAGTTGGATTAACCCAGGTTAACAACAGCCAACCTCAAGATAATCTAATAATAAAAGGTCCATGATAATTGACCTCTTCCACATTTTATTTTTCCCTTGATCTCATGATGCATATATGTTCATTGGCATTTATCATTTATAGGCTTCTGAGACAACTTTCTTAAGTGGTTGGTTTAATTTAGTATCCAATTCTCAAAGTATTTTTTTAGGATTTTTTTTAGTGCCTAGAAGATTTCCCATTTCTTTTGACAAGCAATGAGAGTTTCATTAATCATCAGAATAAGGTAGAAGATCACATATGACATACGTGCAATATTTCAAAGCAAGTAACTAAAATAACAAATGAAAAGAAATGTGATGCCACTTTTGAAGGATAGCATGCATAAGCATATCCAAAAAAGAGAACATGCTGAGCTTGGGGCTAGTCCCCCAAATCATCTCTCTCCAATCTATTCAAGTTCATACCGAATGTGAAATCTCTAATCTTCCTTGGTGTGACCTCTCTTTATCAGGTTCTCTACAAGGCTTGGCATCTGATCAGTAATGACCTGTGAATAATCCCCCTCTATCTCTAGTCTTCCAATTCATATGGTGGAACTCAATATAAAGGCCATGGAGATGGGATAAAACATTCCACTTTGATGTAATTCCCTTTTCCTATAGGTGTGGTATAGATCATCATGATTAAACCATCACAATCTACAAAATTTGACGTACCTTGTTCTCCATTTCCTATGAAACGTGCCAAAGTTGACTTTCACCACAACATAGCTGGAGGATATTGCTTAGGGGTGATAATTTATTTCCTGGCTCTGTCTGCAATGCATTGTTTTAAAAGTGCAACACACACACACACACACACGCACGCACAAGCAAGGGGCATTTTGTGCCCAAGGCACATGGTGGAAGGTAAGGCATGTGCCTTTTTGAAGCAAGGTGCAAAAATGCAAAACAAAAGGCCAAAAATAAAAAAAAAAAAAGTAAAAAAATGAAAAATGCTGAACATAATATAATTAAAAACATAAACTTAAATTTTAAAATAAATTTTGAAAAAAACTATTATCTACTTTCTGTCAGTCTTTAGGATACCTTATAGGGAAGCTAAGAGGATTAAAAAATTGATGAGGGATTTCCTATGGGAGCTAAGGGAAGAAAAAAAATATCATTTGATTAGTTGGGAAGTAGTGAGCAGTATTAAAAAAGAAGGGGGGTAGGGCTAGGAAAGATAGTAAGAATGAAGCTCTTCTAGGTAAGTGGCTTTGGAGGTGGTCATTGGAAAGAGAGAGATTATGGCATGAGGTGGTGGCTAGTATTCATGGTTGCTCTGAGACTAGTTGGGATGCAGGGGGTATCTCGACGGGCTTTGCTCACAACACCTTGGAAGGCTATTTCTGGCACCGTCCCTAAATTCCTCAGGTATGTAAGGTATGATGTCTGCTTTGGTAGTTCTGTTCTTTTTTGGGAAGATATTTAGGTGGTTCTCAACCTCTAAAAGATCGTTTCCCCTCCTACTCTATCTCCCTTTTTAAAAAGGAGCCTGTTTCAAAATTTCTGTCTCCCCCAGTTCTCCCCTTCACTCTAAATTGGAATTTTGGGTTTCATAAAGGTTTAAGGGATGATGAATCTTCTTGTGTCTCTTAGCTTTTGATTCTTTTGGACTTTGCTTGTTTGGACCTCTCTAAATCCGATAGAAGAATTTGGACTCTAATTCTTAATGGTTACTTTACTTGTGTTTCTTTTTTCAAGTCCCTCTGTTCTACCCCTCTCTCTTTGGAGTTCCCTGTCAAAGAAATTTGGTCAAGGCCCATTCCCCAAAGTAGTTGTTTTCTGTTGGAAGCCTTTTATGGTAAGATCAATACTATGGATAGCCTGCAAAAGAAGAGACCTTTTCTTTCTTTATCCCCAAACTGGTGTATTTTGTGTAAAGTGCATAATGAGGACTGCCACCATTTGTTATTTTATGCCTTTGTTGCTAATATTTGGAATTGGGTCTTTATGTTGTTTGGGTGCAGGTGGAACTTGCCCTTTGAAGTAAACTTGCTTTTTGACCCGTCTACTTTTGGTTGGCCTATTAAGAGAGTGAAATTAATGTGGAAGTGCATCAGAGCAACCATTTTGTGGACTATTTGGGAGGAGAGGAATGCTAGAATAGTCCAAGAAAAGGAAAGAAGCATCAATGAAGTAGAGAAGTGTATTTTGACAAGAACAATTCATTGGATGAAAACTTTAGATTTGTTTAGAGGTTACTCCTTTGGTGATCTTTGGAAAAGTTGGGCTTGGGCAGAGGTGGCCTCCATAGCTGCTAAAAAAAATAGACTACAGGTAGTTTGGAGACCTCCTAAAGAGGGCGTGATAAAGCTGATCTTTGATGGGAGCAGTCAAGGTAATCCAGGACCTTTGGGTATAGGAGGGGTCTTAAGAGATGAGGATAGCAACATTCTATCCCTATTTTCAGGACCAATGGGGTTGGTGATTTGACAAGGGCTGAGATACTGGCTGCAGTACAAGGAATACTGGTTGCCAACCAACTAGAAGTGGAAAATCTGATAGTTGAGGGAGACTCTAAGGTGGTAGTGGGTTGGCTATCGAATCCAGAAACAGTTTTCTAGGGCTACTGGGATCTTCTTAAGAAAGTTAATTGGCTCAAAAGAAATATGTCAGTCAGTTTTCAGTGGGTTAGCAGATTGGCAAATGACAGCTGATTTTTTGGCCAAGCAAGGGGGGTCTCAAGGGTTGAATTTATTTTGCGCTACTTTATGACTGTATTCTGTAAAGAGTTTGGTTATGCTCTCACCTCTAAGGGGAGGTAACATCTCATGCCTCCTCGTAGGGTGAATATACACATCCTTTCTTATTAATAAAATCATTATTCATTTATCAAAAAAACTATTATCTCAGGTTAAAATATGTATACATGACATATGAAACATATTCAAGCATGTAAATTCTCAATCTCTTTATTTTTTTCCCAGTTGCATTACTTCAAATAGATACTGTGATGTTAAACATTTTGCATTCCTAGTTCTAGGAGCCACTTTTGTCCCAAGCCCCTTGGTATACTATTTATGATTATGAGATGACACATAATATATTATATATAATTTATATTTATATAAATTAGTATTTATATTAAATATAGTGTATTAAGTGACATAGTTCCATATCTCAGACTGGGCTGGCCCATGATCTCCCCTTGTGCCACCCCTGCTTGACCTTTATCAATGTAAAGAGTGCTAACCACCATCTGCCACTTTTAACAACTGAATCAGCAAGATTTTTTTTTTTTTTTTTAGAATCCAATGGAGTACTTACATAGTTCATGAAATCAAGGACAATAGTGCATGGTACTGAGCAGATTGTTGAATTAGATTATGATTAGCTAGGGTTTCAAGATATCAATATTCTTTTTCTTGTCCAGCAACTGGCATAATTGGTTTATGCCACTTACCTTGTGTAGTAAATTTTAGGTAAACTATGATGGTAATTATGTTTCAAAGTACTGTTAAAAGAGAGTATTAAAGAACATTATTTTGGGTTTATTTGGGTGGCAGGGTAGTTTAGTAATTATATCTTGAATTAAGGACACTCCAATCAACTGTTTTTCATAAATAAGGGTATATCTGAAACATAGTTGTCAAGGCGATGCCTAGGTGACAAGGCGCCCTTGGAGGCTCGCCTTGCCCAATCGCCAAGTAGTTTTGTGCACTATGTTATAAAATACTTTTATATTTTCATTTTTTGACATTATAATTATAAAATAGGCATTATTAAACTAGAATACTCATTTTATGTGTTTATGTACTAATTTCTTTTTATTATTTATTTTCTTAGTTGTTGGGATTTAATCAACACAAACATTGCTAACTGCTGTATTGAACCCATAGTTCAAAGTATCGATACACCTCTGTGTATCGGCAGAGGTGTATCAGTACTTATAATGATACTCCCCCTATTTTTTTATTTCTTTGGTTTTCTATTTCATTTAATATATATATATATATTATTTTAAAAAATGGGTTCCCGAAAACACCTGTAAACATGTGTATTGGGGCGCCAAAGATACAATAAAATACACCCAATACGGGGTGTATCATGT